GCCTTGGCTGAGCCCTCGTCGACCATCATCGTACCTCGAGCTCTGGTCTCGGTGACTGGGTGGATCCAGTCGAAGCCGTCCATCTGGAGCACGTCCAATGGTTCCGCCTCGCGGCCCGCTGCCACGGGCATCGGCTCCCGACGGGCCGTTGCTTCGCAGATGCTGCATTTCAGCTGGCCTGCCAGCGCGATAACCCAGGGCTGAGCTCCCTTCCGAGTGAGGTAGGCGCGCATGGCATTGAGACCCATGTGGTTCATGTTGACGTGGATGCTCATGAGCTCCTTCTTGACCAGGTCAACCACCTTCGGATCTATCTTCGTGAGGTCGTCCTCGTTGGCAGTCGTCTGGTTCATCTCCTCCTCGTCGGTCGCGAATACTTTCTGCACCTCGAAGTAGTCCTGGGCATCCTCCTCCATGATGGTCGCAGCCCACTTGCGACACATAGCTGTCGGATATCGGGCAGTCTTCCCGACATCGACGAGGCCTGTCTCGATCACAGTGTGCTCGTGGTCACGCGTACACCTCCTCCGAAGTCGGTCGGCAAGCTTCTGGTTGGTGGTGACGATCCTCCAGCCTTTGCGAACCAACTCTCCGGTCACGTCGCTCCTCATACCCCAGCCGCATCCGTAGCTGATGGTCTCGTACAACTGCTGCCACACGTCGTACAGCTCCGGGATACTTCTCCAGGAGCTCGCGGTGAGGGGATGCTCCACTGAAATCTCGGTGCCGACCTCCTGCCACGCATAGATCAGCACCTCCAGGGCGTTCCTCATGACCCTGCGTCCCCACTTCCTGACCTTCATCAGCTTCTCTTGGGACTCGACGGTGTTGGGCCTTCCGTTTTGTAGTGCTGAGAACGGCGAGCACGGAGGGGAGGCGTGGGCCCAGCGAGGTCGCTCCCTACTGATGAGTTCTTTCGCCTTGAGCACAGAGGACTTCTTGGAGAAATCGAAGAGGTTGAACAGGCCCATCCTCGTGACCACTCCTCCCATCTTCTCCACCTGGCTGCCCAGAGAGCTGTCTGGTGGGACACAGATCTCCAGCAGGTCGGTTCGGCCCTCTCGGGCCATGGCAGACAACTTCCGGATCCCTTGGTGGTCGAGCTTCGCGGCCGCTTGCAGCGCTTTGTGTCTCACTCGCTGAGGTAGCTGACCTACCACTCGTAGCTTATCTCCCGCCAGCTCCACCTGCCGATGTGAGCTCCAAAGCCCTTCGCCTCCGTGAACTTCTTGGGGCACCCGTTCTTTGCGTACTTCAGCAGCTGGGCCTGCTGGGACCAGCGCTTGCGGGACTGGATCCTCAACACGAGCCGCTGCCACCGATTGCGTCCAGCCTGCTCCATGGTCTCCGACAAACGGTCTGGGTCCGCCGGCTTGTTGGCTGTCGTCTTGGTGTTCTGATTCTTGCCCGAGGAGAGCTTCTTGTTGAAAGGGGTCGTTGGCTCTGGACGTGGAGCTGGTGTCCCCTTGCTCTCTGGAGGTCCCACTGGATGGACCTCCGAGGGCTTCAAATCCGACTGTCCTGACCCTCGCTGCTTGGTTCTCGGTACCGTCGGCAACTCCCTGACCTCGGCGTCCACCTGCAGGCTGCGACCCTGATCCTTGGCCCAGGCGGTCTCCGCCTCGGCGAGGAGGTACTTCCAGGACATGGGTAGCGTTCCTGCCCTTGCTCGACGAGCCGTCTCCGCGAGCAAGCCGTCCTTGGCCGCCTGTCTGGCTGCTTGATCCCTCAGTTCCACCTTCGTGTCCGGGTCGGTCACGGCGAACAGCTCCATCGCCTGCCCCTTCAGGTCCTCGTAGAACTGGATCGGGTCTGCCTCCGTCGCAGGCGCAGCCGACGACGAGGGCGGCACTGAGGAGGGAGAGCCCTCCTCTACGTTGGGCGGTCCCACCATGTCCCACTCGAACTCTTCGTCTGAGATCTCGACCTCTGATGATACCCATGGCCCCTGCGGACTGCTCATGAATATCTTGCTTGCTGGAATCACGAAAGCTCCTCCCGGAGCAACTGCTTGACGAAAATGACTTCGGAGGCGGTGGACATATGTTTGGTATGTGCTGCTCCGTGTTCTCATGGCGTGCTGCAAATACGTGTGCGTGACATAACCTGTCTTGTGCATGCTGTGGCCGTACTCTGTGACATGATCCATCTCGTGCATACTGTAGCCGTACGTGTTGACATGCCCTATCCCGTGCCTGTGGTAGCCGTACTGCAGGACATGACCTATCTCGTACATGTGGTAGCCGTACTCCATGACATGGCCTATCTCGTGCGTGTGGTAGCCGTACTTCATGAAGTGCAGTGTCTCGTGCGTGTATGGCCTGGGTCCTCACCTTGGGCTCCCTGGAGGTCCCCATACTGAGGCTTTTCATTTTCTGCACGCTGTTTGCTTCTTTGTATTGGAGAATTGCAGTGGTTTTTGAATTAATGAGCGCGATCTTCATGTTATCCTGACTCTGGTCTTTCCAGGGGACTCTGGGCGATCGACGATCGATGGGAGAACAAAATTGACAACTTCTATCTTTTCCCAATCCTTCGGCGTTGTCTCGGCCTCCGGCTGGGCATCCTCACAGGACGGGCAGCGCGTAGTGAGAGCTGGACAGCCTCACCACTGGCTCCTCGTGGCCGTCGGGGTAGACGAGCGCCAACCTGTCCTTGACGATGTCGGCTCCAGACTTCTCGAGATAGTCGAGGCCGAGCAGCATCGGGGACTTGGTCTCCACGAGGTCGAACCACAGCTTGTTATCGTCTTCCACGAGCGCCACCGGATGCTCGAACCCGAACTTCCCGATGGACTGACCCTTCTCACCGCCCGCGTAGGTGAACTTCGTCGTCTTGCTGTAGTCCATTGTGACCTGGTCGATGCCCGTCTCCTCCACGATCGTGTCCTGAATCGCGACGGCGAGGTCCAGGCCGATCATGCTCTTGGAGGCCCCGGTGTCGATGATCGCGTAGCCGACCATCTCCTCGTGTACCCAGCCCGCTTGGCCGTCCTCTGGCGGGATGCCCTCGTTGCTGTAGTTCGTCTCTTCGGTCTCGACGTCCACGAAGCCGGCCTGCCCTGTGGCCATCTGCATGTTGTTGCCGTCTACTCCGGTGCTGAGCCGCTTCGGGCAGTCCACTGCACGATGCGGACCCTGGCATATCAAGCACTTGATCCCGCGGCCCTTGCCCTTGCCCGTCGGACGGCGGCCCACGGGTTGTGGTGGGGGAGGAGCGCGGCGCTCTCCTCCTTGTGGGCCTGGAGGCTTGGGGGGCCGCAACGCCGCCTTCGCCGTCACAGCTGCCTTCTGCGTGTCGCGCTGCTGCTGCTTCTCAGGGAGCTGCCCGATCCCGACCACCGGGAAGTAGCCACTCCTGTTCTTGGCCGCCTCCGCCAGCATCTTCTTAGCCTCCGTGAAGGTACGATGGGCGTCCTGCGCGTACACCTCTGCATCCTCCGCGAAAGCCTCCAGCTCTTCAATCTGCTCTTCGGTGGCGGCCTCCTCTTCGTAGTAGATGTCCTCCTCGTCGAGCTCGTTGCTGCCCTCGAAGAAGGCCTCGTCCTCTTCCTCGTCGTCCTGGTAATTGACCTTCGAGCGATCGCGACGGCTGTCGCGGGTGCTCTGGATCCTCATGTCCCTGCGCCTCGCCACGATGTTGTCCCTCGCAGCCAGATCCTTATCCGACCATACGTTCTTCAGCTTGTCGATCACTGATTCGATGGACCAGTCGTTGAGGCCCGCCACCACCGTGGCGCGCTCGCTCGGGTCGAGGCCAGCGTTCACGAGGAAGATGATCCCTCGCAGCTCGTCGGGGATCAGGTCGATCGCGTCGATGCCCGGACAGATGGCCCGGACGCTCTTCTCCATCTCCTGGTAAGCATCTTCCTCCTGCTCCGCGTAGAGGCCAATCGTCTGTCCAAGCTTCCTCACTCTCGGGCCTGACGTCTTCCGATCGTAGTAATAAGCGAACACTTTGTCCACCACGTCGCTCGATGCTTGCTTCCCCAAACTCTTCTGAAAGGCCCTCAAGAGGTTCTCTGGGCCCTTTTCCCCTACGATCGTGTCGGGCGTGTCCTCAGTCCGCGGAAGACGCAGGGCCAGCTTCCTGTGCGCGGTATTCTTCGGGAGAGCCTGCACCAGCCGAGGTCCCAGCAGCTTCCTGTCGTCCTCCTTAGTCGCCAGGGTGAGCAGCTCCACCTCCGCTTGGTACTCGTCCAGGGTCTCCGCTTTGCCGTCCCACGTCGGTATCCTCTGAAACTCGACGCCTTGGCCCGTGCTCGATGATGCCATCTCGAGAGCGTTGAGTCCAGATAACACTTCAACCAAGCTCCGCACTACCAATGATTTGTCGCCTCGTCGAGGTTAACTCGAAGAGAGATAACGAGAGAATAAGATGATATCAACAATCAACTTCAACTGTGTATAATGGGAAGAGTGCCTCTTTCCTCGGGGCAAGGTGCCTGGGGCTCGTTCACGAGCCAAGTCAAACAAAACAGTTCGATATGGAAACCGCGCACAGAAAGCTCGAGCACTGAATATGAGTACAGAAATCCACCTACTAACCTTGGTTAGAGTTCTAGACAAAAACCTGATTTCTACGAGACCTGGGGCACCCCGAGAGTCCTGGGGGCACCTTGGGCCAGGGGCACTTCTAGCAACACCCGAACACGGGGTGCCCTCGGGGGCGCGAAGACCTTCGCGCTTCCCGCTCCGCGCTCCGCGCTCTTGGCGCTTCGCGCTTCGCGGCTCGGCTCCGACTCCTCATCCTCTTCTCCCCCGGGGGGCGGCGCGGCAGCGCGAAGCTCTTCGCGCTTTGCGCGGTGCGAAGCGCGAAGTGCGGCGCCCTCGTCACCGATCCTTGCCGGGCCCGTCCTGGCCGCAGGCCGGCGCATGCGCCCCCGAGGCCTGGCCGGGGAGGTGTCTGGGCGCTGGCCGGGGGCCCGGGATCGGCCCGGCCAGGCTCGGTGAGGCCCGTGTGCGCGTCTGGTGTGCACGGGTCCCCGCCTCGCAGAGGAGGACCCGGAGCGCCCCCTCTCCGAGCAGGGCCGGGCCGAGGCGGCCTTCACGGCGCGCGGCGTGGCCGAGTTCCTCGGAGGCGAGGCGGGCGCCGCGGGCCCGGTGGAGGTGCTCGGTCCAGATCGTGGGAGCCTTGCTCGGGGGCGGCCAAGCGGGGGTTCGGTAGCGAATCATGGGGCCCTGGTGTGCCCTCAGGATTCCGTCCTCGGCGTCGATGGGCGCCGATTCGCGTCCGGGAATGGATGGGATAGCGCCGATTCAGCGTCGATTCGCATCGACTTAGCGACGATGAGCGTCGACTAGCGTCGAATCGCAAAAACTTGCAAGATGGTATGGGAGGCTCCCACGAGTTGCCACCGAAGGAAGGGGGGTGATGACTAGGGTGTATGTGTGTGTGTGTGTGTTTGAGAGTGTGTGTGTGTGTGTGTGCATGTTTGTGGATATCATGACCAGGGCCGCGATGTCCTCCCAGTTTTCATGACCCCCTGTTATTTTTCTTCTTCGTTTTCCAGCACGTTCGGCGCCCATGCGTCGGGCCATTTGGACGTCCTCGTATTTCCGTCTTTCGCGTGAACTCGCGTGCGCTAGCTTCTGGTCAGCGCTGAGGAAGCGTCGACTTGCCGTCGATGAGCGCCGATCCAACGCTGACTGGCGTCGACGAGCGTTGGTCAGCGCTGATTCGCAGGAGCCAGCAAGATGGCACGGGAGGCTCCCAATGAGCGGCCGCCGGAGAGGTGCTCCACAGCGGCAAGCTGCGCGCCGAGCAGACGGCCGCGGCCGTGGCGGGGCGGCTCGAGGCCGCTGGGCTCGAGGTCGCGCTGCGGCGGGCCGACGGGCTCGCCCCCAACGACCCGCCCGCCGCGGCGGCGGCGCTGCTCGAGGGCCTCGGCCCAGGCGCCGCGGTGCTCGTGGGGCACCTGCCCCACATCTCGGGGGCGGCCCAAAGGGGGGTGATCGATGAATGGGGGTGGGCCATGATATATTTCCTCAGATTTCATGGCGCCTCTTCCTCTTTCGTGGCATCCCTGGCCCCGCCCCTGGGCCGCGCACGTGCCGCCGGCCACGATTTGCGCCCCCCCCCTCCTGTGCGCCTCCCTCTTGGCCGCCCCCGAGCATGGGGCGCCTCGCCGCGCAGCTGGTGGGCGCCCCTGCCGCCGCGGGCCGGCTCGGGGGCCTCTTCCACCCCGCGGCCGGCGTGGTGCTGCAGCGGGAGGCAGGGGCCGCCGCCTGGTCGGAGGCTGCGGAGGTCTGGCGCAGGGGCTCGGGGAGGAAGGATCCGCCACAGACGAAAAGTACATACACAGACACCCTCCAATGGATTGGTGCTGGGCCTCAGGGGAGGGTGGCGGTGTATAGATCGCTATGGAGAGCCACCGACTGTACACACCGCCACCCTCCTTGAAGGTACATGCAAAATATGTCGGCGGGTGTCTGTGTATGTAGTTTCGTGGCGTAGAAGAGGCGACGTGAGCATGAGAATTCGGAGGTCCGCGCGAATATGTTTTGCATCGGCGCTGGGTCGGTCCCCCTGCCTCGAGCGCGGAGCGTGTCATGGGAGGGGCCCATTTCCGATCCAAAACATCTGTGCGGCTCTCCGTCAGTTTACGGTAGTGCTCGTGCTCTAAGAACTCAGGAAGTTGTGCATGTTTTACGTGGCTGGCCTGGGCGAGCGCTAGATGCGCATGTGGCCACACAGCTCTGTGCCCTCGTGAGGACACGGGGACGTCGGGACGTCAGCCCTCTCAATGTGCATCCAGCGCTGGCGCGTGGTTCCCGCGTGTCCCTCGTGTGCACCCCAGCCGTGAGTGCTTCCCGCTTCCATGCGTATCCACGGCCACCACCTCTGAGTCGGGCCCTGGGATCTCGAGGGCCTCACAGGGCATGGTGGATGCTGGGTGTGGACGTGGGTGCCCGCCCAGGGGTCCAGAGCAGGGCTCCAGCAGGTTCCGTGGACGTGGATGCTTCCTGTCGGAGGAGAGACATCTGCATCCACAACCGTCCGAGGTCCGCGTGGATCTCTCTGCTCGGCGCGGGACCCCCCTGGCGGCGCCTCTGGCACCAACTCCTGGCGCGCTCCGCGCACCAGGACGTGTGCACCAGGGGGGCGGGGGGCGTCCGGCGCCGACCCAGCAGACCGGCGCGGGCCTGCGGCCGTCTCTGCTCGTGCGGCGGTGTCGGCCACAGTTGAGAGTGACCTTGCGCCAGAGCGACCTCTTGGGGTGCGGGCACCATCTGGTCCCCAGGTGGCTCCATGCGATGCGACAGCAGCGGCTTCCGCGCTCGGGTCTGGCACCGCCGCGCCCGTCGTGACGCCGCGCACCAAGGGGCACCCTTGCCCGGGGCCACTCCTGCGTGTCGCCGAGTTCCCTTCTCATGGCGAGGTGGTCCAGGGCTGCACCTGGTGGATGGAGGCGCCCCCTCCGCCTGGGCAGGCGTGACGCCGAGCGCTGTGCCGTGCGCCGGGCCCGCGCGCCCGCGCCGAGGTCGGCCTCGCGAGCGCCGCTCGCCCCTCCTCTCGGCGGTGGCCGCTCGCGGCCGGCGGCCCGCGGGCGGCGGTGACCTCTGGGGCGCAGGCCTGCAGGTCGCAGCGGCCGAGGCCGCGAGGGCCTGGGCCTCCCGGGTGGGGTCCGAACTGCGCGGGGTCGGCGGATCGCGCCGCATTGCCGATGCTTCGGCGATGCGGCTCGGTGTGGAGCCCGATTTCCTCGACACCGGCGTCGCCAAGGCATTGGCGTATCCGTCCACTCTCACCCCATGCGGGAGGCCTCTAGAAGGCGAAGACAATGTCGATCAGGGAAAAGCAGGGCTGGAGTTTGCCATTGCCATACCTCGGGTTTGCAGCCTGTTTTCGACGGTTCTAGCGGTCTTGCCATCTTCCTGACGGCCCCGTTGGGCCTCTTCGAGCCTTGAGTTTCCCCAGAACGAGCTCCCGAGGCGTGCCTTCTGTCTTCGCGGCCGAGTCAGAGGAGATGGAGAGCTTGGTCGGATGGAGAGAGGGCCTTGGCGCGGACAAGCCGTCTCGAGCCGTCCTCTGCACGGCCGCCTCGGTGTGGGCTCGGCAGCGCGTGGGGCCAAACGTTTTGGGCTCTTGCGCTGCCGTGCGTCTCCTCCCTCGCCATGGTTCTGCAGAGGGGTCAGCCACGGGCAGCGGCAGCGGGGGCCTGGGCCCAGGGCGGGGAGGCATCGGTCCTTCGTCGCCCACTCGTCGCCAGTTGAGGCCTGGGGGCCCCACATCGCTCAGGAAGACTAGGGTTTCGCCAGCGAGGGCCCACTGCCGATCTGTCGGCCCGCCCCCCCCCGCCCCTTGAGCCAGCCCCCCCCCCCATATCGTTCCCCCTCAGGGGAGGACAGAGGGGGGAGCTGTGCTGTGGGCTGGGTTTCTACGCCGCGGGCAAAGACGCTAGACCTGGAGCAACACAACAAGAGGGCACCCTCTTCCCTTGACCCGCTGGTCATTGAAAGTATATGTCTCTGGATTCCAAGATCCCAATCTACCTCACGAGCGCCTCCCTACTCCAAGGATCGCTCTGCCATTGCTGTGGTTTGTGGTTCTCTGGGAGGTCCGGAACCCAATCTGCTTTATTCGCCTCCCTGCTTCATTCTTCTACCTACCTCTCCCGATCGACCTGTGCTCGCAAGAGGCAGAGGTGACGCGGGCCCCGGGCAGACACACCGCGGGACAGGGCGGTGGCCGGAGGGTATCATTGCCGAGAGGCCCCCCGCGGGGGCGCGAAGATACCACCGCGCCCCCCGCCTCGCGGTCTTTTTCCAGCGGGGGGGCCGAGTTATAGCCAACCCGCATGATTCGGGGGGTGGACAGACCTCCCAACAGTGACACGTCGATTAGTGAATTGTCCGTTTTCGGTTCTCGAGAGGGCGCCGCGGCCGTTATTTTCCAGGCTTGCGCCCGCCAAGTTTGGGCCCGAGGTCGTTTTCACTAAACCACGTTTTACTAAAGGGAGGTCTGTCCATCCCCGAATGATAAGGATAAGCCGCTTTCCAAGGTTGCCCTCGCATCCCTCCCTTCTGGCCCATCCTTGGCCGCTTTGGCCGGTCGCACCGCGTCCGCAGAGTGTCGACGAGGCCTCGCAAGGCCCCTTGCCTCCTTCTCGTGCGTTCTCAGCAGATGGGTGGACTGTGGAGCGACAGGGAGGGTGGGGAGCTTAGGTGCACGCTTTCTCCTCTTCTGTGCAAGGGTGACCTTGGACATCCTCAGGGGAGTCGTTCTTCGTTGCCCTTCGAACTCGCAGACCTCGCTCGATTTCTCGCGTCTGATCGGGAGCGCGGGCGCTCGGGGGTGATGGTGTGGCTGCCTCGGGCGGAGCTTCGTGTCTGCCAGCGCTCCTTGTTACATTTGGAGGACCAGGAGGAGATGCGAGGTTGCCGAGGATCGGCGGCGAGCGAGGAGCGGAAGTGAGAAAGAAAGGCCTTCTCAGAAGGTTCGGAAGTCCCCAAACCTTCTGAGAAATTCTTAAGCCCTCCCCGAGAACATAGAAAGCTTCTCAGAAAGCCAGCCGGCTTCTAAGAGGGACCGTCGCCCTCTGAGAGGGCCTTCTCCTCATTTCCCCCTTCGCTCGCCGTCGGGAGGAGGAAGAGGAGGACTACCAGGGATCGAAGAAGAAGCAGCAATCATAACAATGTACCGTCGGAGCTCCGCGCGTATTTCTCTAATCGGCGATGACCCCCCCCTGTCGGCACCTCCGGCGCCGCCCTTGTCGCACCTCCGCGCGCCGGGAGGGGGGAGGGGTCCAGCGCGGATCCACGAAATTCACGTGGACCTCCAGCACATTATGGCTGTGCTGTTGCTTTTGTTCCTCTAAGGGGGCACGATGGCGGTCTGCTGCTGCCCTCCCCCTGCCTGAACTCGCTGCGTGTCCCTGCCTTCCCCTTCTTCTAGCACGACTGCAGTCTCGTGATCCCAGTGGATCGAGCGAGGGAGGAGGACCCAGAATGGGGCAAGGAGGTTGTGGAGGTGCAGGGTTCGATCTAACGGTGTTTCGTCGATTTTGTGTTCCGTTTTCGTCTCGGCTTCGTTTTGCAGAAAAGGCAGATCGAAGACAAGACGAGGGAAAACGAAAACAACACGAAGTCGAAAAGCACCGTTTATGTCGATCCCTGTGGAGGTGGTGGTACCAAGTATGTGGCCGTTGCGGTAGTGTCGGAATTGCTGTCATGGTCGTTGCGCGCTGCCGAGCAGGGCCGGGGCTTTTGCGTGCATGCATTCCTGACCTTGCGATCGAGCTCGGCATGACGTCAGGATCAGGGGGAGGATGCGTATGACATCGCAGGAAGGTGGGAATTCCAGGCCGCTTAGGTCTCCCCATTTACCTTTACCGGTTACCGCTGGTGACCCCTGGAGCGTTGCTCCAGTGGTCACCTGGCCCTGGTTTGATCAGCTCCCCCTGCGCCGACCTGCCCTTGGGGGGGGGAGGTTACGTTCGACGAACCTTGTAGTGATGGGCCTGTTTTCCACCACCACCACCATAAGTTGGAGGGGGAAGGAGGAGGCGGAGGAGGAGAAGGAGGAGGAGGAGGAGGAGGGAGGGAGGGAGGGAGGGAGGGAGGGAGGGAGGAGGAGGAGGACCCCCTCCCCCTTTAACTTATGGTGGTGGTGGTGGAAAACAGGCCCATCATTGTAGCCGTCAGGAATCAGGCCGCCAAGATGGTGTCGGAGTAGATGTCGTCGGGGGATCGCGCCGCGTCGCCGATGCATTTCGCGGTGCGGCATGATCTGGAACCATATGTTCTTCACGCCGACGTCGCCGATGCACCGCCGACGTCGCGGATGTAATTATCGACGATGCTTCGGCGATGCGGCGCGATCCCTCGACCCCATTAATTTCGGCCCCCTTCGGGTTGCCTTCAAGGATGGGGGGTTGAGGAGAGCGGGGAGGACAAGCTTGCCACGCTCGCGCCAGACATCCAATGACCACTCCCGCCCGTGCCTTCCCCATGAGTCCTATAGTTTCTGTTCCCGATTAGATTGTCCTAAAAAGCCGTGATCACCCAAATGACCCCTTTCGTGTCTTGCGCACGAAGCAAGGGGCGTATTCTGCATCGGCAGAGAAGGTGACGGATGAGGACGAGGACGATGAGTTGGAGGAAGAACAGGAGAACGAGGAGGATGATGAGCGGGGAGGATGAGTATGAGGATCAGCAACAGGAGGATTAGGAGGATTGGGAACAGCATTATGCTCAATGGAACGCGGAGGAGGAGGAGACATGCGGGCGGCAGCAACAACGAGGAAGGACGCACATCCGGAAGTGTGGCCCGCGCATTGGCGAGGGCATCATTCTGAACGATGGGAGCAGAGTACCGATCCTGAAACGTGGCCATGGCCGCAGCGGGAACACCACGGTTGACGTACCGAGAACGCTCCAATACACAAAGAGTACAGAAATCACGATTGCGCGGCGGCAGAAGATCGTGCGGCGGCGATCGTTTCGTTCAAATCCCGTGTGAAGACAGTGCGCTGGAGCGGCGGGGGCGCCGCTCCACGGTATCGGAGAAGATCAGGGAGTAGTTCGATCATGTTGTGCAGCTGTCGAGGGGGATCTGAGGGCGGGGGGGTCGGGTGAGGAAGAGGCAGAGGAGGGGAGTACGAGGAGGGGGCCAGGGAAGGGACAGGTTGAGGATCAGGTGCGTCAGTGTCTCTGGAGGCCCCTGGGGGCAGACACGGGCTCCGAATATCCAAGAACACTGATGAGGCAAAGGGGAAGAGGAGGAGGCGGAGGAGGAGGATGATGATGAGCAGGAGGAGAGGGATGATGAGGAAGAGCAGTATGAGAATTACGAGGAGGAGCCAGGGAAGGAGGATAGGGTGGAGTGCGAGGAGAAGCACGACGAGGGGAGGTTGAGGAGGAGGCGGAAAAACGGATGGGAAGAGGATGGCTGCAGGAGAGGGCATGAAAGGTTGAGGAGGGGGCCGGGCCACCCCGACCTTGAGAGGTGGCGCCTGGCTGCCTCGCTCGTGCCCCGTCGGCGGCTCGCCTGGGCGCCGCGGCGGCGGCCTGGCTGGTGGCCTTACGTGGCGTCGGCCGTCGCCGACGAACGACGAGCGTCACGTGTAGACGCAGACGAGCCTCGGACGGTTCAGTTACGGTCGGACCGCGGTGTGAGGTCGAGGGCGGTTCGGGGAGGGTAACCTCTGAGGGTCTTCTGTTTTGATCCCCCCTTTTCACTCGGCGGTGGATTGGACTGGTTCTAAAACTCTCCCCTCCTCCTCCTCCTCCTCCTCCTCCTCCTTCTCCTCATCCTCCTCCTCCTCCTCATCCTCATCCTCCTCCTCCTCCTCATCCTCCTTCTCCTCCTTCTCTTCCCTCCTCTCTCCTTCTTGTTGCTGTCATCGTCGCTGTCGTGATCGTTGTCGCGCGGCGGGTGCCGCGAAAAAACAACACATGATTGGGACCCCAGTCCGTTAATGAGGCCGCCGGAAAATATCCCCGTTATTGGCCGGGGGATCTAAAGACCCTTAGAGGTTACCCTCATGTCTTCCCTGCTTTTTGGATGTTCTTCTGTATGTTGGACGTTATGTGTGTTTTGGCTGGCGGAGGGTCTCAAGTTCTCGAAGGGTCTTCTTCTGTCCCTTGTCTGGCCGTATGGCAGGCTTGCGCCGCGTTGACGCGGCGGCGAACACAGCGCGGGCGTTCCAGGTTAAGCGCCGCCAGTGACCCAGAATCAGCCGATGGCGAACGACCTGCCCTTTCGAATAGCCGTCGATCTTTCAAGTTTGAGTGATCCACGGGGTGTCAGGGACCGACGCTGACGTCATCGCCGCACGAACCTGCCCTACATCTGTTTATCAAGGCTCTGCGATACCGACGTGCGAAAGGGTTTCTACATCCCCAGCCCAGGACAAACAGTTTTTCCTCTCGGGCCCAGAAGGGTGGTTTGAAGTCTTGAGCAGACGCGGATTAGATAACCGCCGTCGGATCCAATTCAGTTCGCGTGGATCAAATGTTGGATTTGGGTTGTGTTTCGGTGGGTCCGATATACGCCCCCCGGATCCGATTGCGGATTCTCGGGGTCCGCATCCGGCCTTGATTTCTATGGCGGATCCGATTCCGACCTCGTTTTGAAATTATACGATTGAGGTAAACATGGGGATCCCATGAAATCGGATCCGCGGGCCCCGCGACCCGCCCGTGCCAAGAGTCTACGGGGGATGGGGGTTCGGTCATCAATTTTCCAAGATGGGTCCTGCGCTGTCCCGAGCACTCCCATCAACTCTCTGCGCGCCCGGGCCCCAGCCAACATGAATGCATCTCTCTCCTTCCCGTTGCTGCAAACAGGTCGTCCGGTCGCCATCCGTTTCTCGGTGCCGACGTTGTCTCGCGAAGTCCTTATCGCCATTTTCACCTCAAGAGCAACATCTCTCGTCCGGCGTAAGTAATGCAGAGTACCGGCGCGGGATTTATTTGTTTCTGCAGGGGTCTTACTGCCTCTGTATTGGCGCCATCGTGGAGCTCTACATGAGTTTGCACAGCCCGTGAACCAGTTCGCCCAACAGACCTTCAATGTGTGCTGCAGAAGACCGTGCTTTGATTGGAAAGCCCCGACATCCCACTGCTTGAATCATCGCCACGTTGTGGAACGTCGGGGTTGGCGCCCTCGACCCTGTCTTCTCGACGGCCTTCTCTGTGCATATTTGGTCCGCGTGGGCCCTGCGACCCGAGACGGGGCGAGAGCGCGAGTGACTTTCTGCGGCCCCGTAACCTGCGGGGACCAGTCGCAGCAACGTGCCTCCTGCTCCCGGAGGTCCTCACTGGAGGCCTCCGGGGGCCTCCATGGGCAGAGTAGAGGTCAGCAGCACGAAAAAGCCTTCGGCCTCGATCCTCGGTCCTCGCCACTCGACACTCCCCGTATCCTTCGCCGTCCTGTCTCTCTCGCCCCTAAACCTCCTGCTCCCTTTGAAGAAAGAAGCGCAACGAACACGAGCATCCAAGCTTTCGGAGGTCAGCCCGGATGTTCTCAGACCGGCTCGAAGCCTCCAGGAGGGTACACTGCCGATCCAAGAAACTCGCACGGACCTTCGACAGTTTATGTTCATACAGTCGGGGCCCTGAAGAAGGAGCCCTTTTCGTTGGGGAGGGGCTCCATGTTCCTTAAGTGTTTCGCAGCTTGCCTCAGGTGTTCCTTATGTTTTCGATCGGACATCGAAGGGTAACTTATGGAAAAATGGGGGTTCGTTCCCTATTTAGGGTTCCTTAGGTCAAGGCCCCGACTGTACCGCTCTTGCCCGATGTTCAAGACGCTTGTGCCGTTCCGCCGACCCCCTGGGAACAGAACAAACAAGTCCACGGGTGAGGCCTTGAGGCCCTTCGGATCTCGTTGGTGCCGTTTTTGGGGGCCTCTCGGGGGCCTCGTTGGGGCCTCCTTGGGGGTTCCTGGGCGCCTGCTGGCGGCATTGGGGCCCTCTTGGGACGGAAGACTCGACAGGTCAGTTCGAGTTTCAGGCCAGCCAAAACTGAGGGAGCTGTGGTCCTCACCCCCCTGGGGGACCCATCGATTTCGACACCCCTCTCGAGAGATCATCGATGCGATGGGTTCCCCTAGGGGGGTAAGGACCACAGCTCCCCCAGTTATGGCTGGTCGGAGTTTCCCTTCTCGGGCCCTTCTTGATCTCCGCTCCCGCCGTGGCCAGGCGGCGGCGTGGGGCCTGCGGCTGCTGGCGCTGGTGGTCTGGGCGAGGCCGCGGCTGCTGCCCGCGGAGGACGCCGCCCGCTGGCTCGCCGCCCGCCGCGTGGGAGGGCGCTCGCGGGCCTCGGGGGCGGACGCCCGGGGCCTCCTGTTTCCCTCCTGCCTCCTCGTGCCTCCTCCTGCCTCCCGCCTCCTGCCCTCCTCCTCCTGGGCCTTCCTGCTTCGTCCGGGTTCCCCCCGATGGCACGAGAGTGCGTCGGATGCCGCCACGTCCCCCCCCCATCGCCCCCGGGGGAGGGGGTCAAGCTGGGTCGCCATGCAGCGGAGACGCTGCAGCACACATAAGCCATACGGGGGAAAGCGACGCAGTAAAGGAGGAGATGGAAGCCACGCATGAACAGATAACAAACGGGAGGAGGAGGAGGAGGAGGAGGAGGAGGAGGAGGAGGAAGCGGGGGGAGGAGAAGGAAGAGGAGGAGGAGGAGGAGGGAGGGAGGAGGAGGAGGAGGGGGGGGGGGGGGAGGGGGAGGGGTATTAGGGGGAGGAGCGGCGGCGGCGGCGGAGGAGGAGGAGGAGGAGGAGGAGGGGGAGGAGCAGGAGGAGGGGGAAGA